GAGGGAGAGGGAGCTGGGATTGACATGTGAAGCAAGGTCTTTTCTAAAAAAAGTAATACAAAATTTTTTTCTTGAAAAAAACTTAAAAAAAAAAACCTAACTTGCCTACTTCCTGCTCACACTTCTTTCCTTGAAATGTTGTGGTTGTGCAAGATATTGTATTTCTTTCTTACACAACAACAATGACATGAGAGAAGCCAGATGCCAGTATGGTCCTGCCGTTCCAATAGTTACTTGTCAACAGCAATACAGGACGCAACAGATGAAATGCTAGTAAACGATTTCTTCCAAATTAAGACATGAGCAAAACACTTCCCTGGGCCTTGTCACTACAAGCCTCTTTCTAAGGGTTCAACAGCCTTGTCGTAAATCCCCAGCGAGGTTGATTGGACCACCGTGTTGCATCTACACGTTTTCATCTGCATCAGCATTGCTTGTATGAAGGATTTAAATTGCTAAGGATTGCTATGGTTCTTTCTTTAGTGTGCTAGTCTCTTGAGGATCCGGTACAGTGGTTTATATATATTAGCAAAAACTAAATTAATGTTCATTGAATGCTGGATTCAGAAAAATAACACGTGTATATAAGCTCCAATTACAAGAGAAGCTCCCTAAAGGCTCACTAATTTGAGTCATGTATGCCTAGAAATATTCCAGGCACAAAGACAACACACAGCACACACATAAGAGGAATGCTTTTCCAAAACAGCCTGGAAAGTACTTATTTGGTTGACAAAGTAAAACATTCTATAGTGTGTAAGGGAAGAGAGACTAAAGTGTCAAGTTTTCCTTTTCCGAGTTAGGAATTGGCATTATTATTTTTTCACAGAAGGTCAATGGTAAACATTTGAGGATTTACAGGCCGTATAGTTTCCACTGTATAGCTAAACTCTGCGCTGAAGGACAAAGGCAACCCAGATAATACGTCAAAAGTGAGTGTGGTTGTACTGCAATAAAACTTCAGAACTGGCTTTGTCTTAGTTAGATTTAAAAAAACCTGGGGAAGAAAGGGTTTATCTTATAACTTCTGGTAAAATTCACTGAGGGAAGTCAGGGGGAGAAACTCAAGCAGGAAAGCCACCTGATGCAGAGGGCATGGAGAAGTGCTGCTTACTGGCTTGCTCAGTCTACTTCCTTATATACCCCAGGGGTAGCACCGCCCATAGAGTACTAGGACTTCTCACACCAATCACTACTTAAGAAAATTCACCACAGGCGTGGTGTGGTCATAGTTAGGCTTACCATTGCTGTGATAAACACCATGACCAAAGCAAGTTGGGGAGGAAAGGGTTTATTTGGCTTAGGCTTCCACAGCACTCTCACCATTGAAGAAGTCAGCACAGGAACTAAAACAGAGCAGGAGCCCGGAGGCAGTAGCTAAGGCAGAGGCCATGAAAGGTTATTGCCTATTGACTTGCTCCTCATGGCTTGCTCGGCCTGCTTTCTTAAAGAATCCAGAATCCAGGGCCACCAGCCAAGAGATGGCCCCATCCACAATGTGCGGAGCCCTTCCACATTTATCACTTATTAAGTAGGCTTGCCAACAGTCTGATCCTATGGAGATATTTTCCCAATTGAGGTTCCCTCCTCTCTGATGACCTTAGCTTGTGTCAAGTTGACATAAAATTAGGCAGAATAGGCATTTTCTCAACTAAGGTTCCCTCTTCTTAAGTGATTCTAACTTGTGTCAAGTTGACAAAAACCTTAACTAGCACATCTCTTTCAATTTAACTAGCACATCTCTTTAAATAATTTCTTTGCAAAAATGACTACTGGTGTCCACAACTGGAGAGACAGTCTCACAAAATGTTAGACTACTGCATTATTTAGGGTAGGCATCTGCTGAATTTGGTGATGATCTATATATTCATTACAAGAATGGATAAATGAGTGAAAATCGTTACAGAGTATTAATTCAGGAGATGGCCATTGTAAGATAGAATCTGCGGGCCTCTGCTACACTTATACCATCTATTTCTGAAATCCTCAAGCTTATTTTCTCATGTTTCCAAGTTTTAACCCACATCACAAACAGGCCTGATCTCGTCTTCAGCTGCAAATCCAATTTAACATACAACTATGCAATTACTTGCCACACATGTTAAACATTCATGCCTTTGCCATATGCTATTAAGAAAATTGCACTGATTTATAGCAGTTTGACACCACTAGATAACACAGATTCACCAGATAGCAAATCACACTGCATCGGGAAATGTTTTAAATGTTTAATATACATCCAGACCTCTGTTAAACTGGTAATAATGTAGTCATGTAGCTTTGGAGAAAACTTTTACAACACATTAAAAATATAGTCCTATCCCGGGCGGTGGTGGTGCACGCCTTTAATCCCAGCACTCGGGAGGCAGAGGTAGGCAGATCTCTGTGAGTTCGAGGCTGGGCTGGACCGATAGCCTCCAAACAATACAGAGAAACCCTGTCTCGTAAAAACCAAATAAATATATATATATATATATATATATGTATATATATATATAGTCCTATATATTGTGACTATGAACCATATGAAGTCCAAACATAGTAATAGCATAATGGTCAAGAACACACAATACTGTACTTAGGTAGACTTAGATTTAAATACTGATTCAACTGTTTAGCTACTCTGTAGCATTAATTTCTTCAGTAACACAGGATGGCAATATCAACTGGAGGAGGCATAGTGATGATTAGTAACTATCACTAGTTCCTATTACCTGCACATTAAATTCCACTGAAGGAAAAATGAATTAATTCAGAATGTATGGGACTATGAAGGAATGTTGTAAGAACATATAAAAATTGTCATACAACACAAAAAGGTTATCACTATAGCTAATAATCCTAACTTTAAAAACTGGTGAAAAGTAATAGAATCATGAGAAATTCTCTAAACTTTGAAGGTATCAATAATACAATATAACTATGCTAGGCAGGATTTACTGAATGAGTACTATCTCTCTATCCACTGGGTACTCTCTCCAGTTACATTAGGAGGAAGGAGGCTCCTTAGAAATAATTATAGTTGGCTGTAATAAGTGAAAACATACTGTTGAATAATACTGTATAATGAATATTCATTAGTATTCAAGTGTGTAAATGGATACTTTCTTGTTTTTACTTATAATTGTAACTACACATCTGAACATAGATGCATTCTCTCTGCATCAGCATTCTGTGTATGTGTGTGTGTGTGTTTGTGTGTGTGTGTTTGTGTGTGTGTGTGTGTGTGTGTGTGTTGAGGGTGGTAATTTTGCCGTGCAGGGATTATCAGGAAATGTCTGGAGATCTTTTTGGATGTCGCAATCTGGGTGGGTATACTGGCTGGTTTTGTGTGTCAACTTGACACAAGCTAGAGTCATCAGAGAGGAATGGGCCTCAGTTGAGGAAATGTCTTGATGAGAGATGAGATCCAGCTGTAAGGTATTTCCTTATTTAGTGTTCATTGCGGGAGGACCCTGGCCATGGTGAGTGGTGCTACTACTGACCAGGTGGTCCTGAGTTCTATAAGAAGGTGAGGTGAGCAGGCCAGTTAGTAACTGCCCTCAATGGCCTCTGCATCAGTTCCTGCCTCCTGGATCCTGCCCTGTTTGAGTTCCTCTCCTGACTTCCTTCAGTGATGAACAGCAATGCTGATGTGCAAGCAAAAAAACCCTGTCCTCCCCGACTTGCTGTTTGATCATGGTGTTTCGTCCCAGCAATAGAAACCCTAACTAAGACAGTGAGTATGCTACTGGTAGACTTTAGGGATGTTTCCATCTATCCTATAATGTATAATATAGCCTCTATAACAAAAATTACATAGCCAGAATGTCACAACGTTCAAGTCAAGATACTTGGTTCTGAGCTAAGATCCCTCAGGGCTGTGGTAGTTTGAAAGAAAATGGCCCCCAAAGGGAATGGCACTACTAGGAGGTATGGCATTTTTGGAGTAGGTGTGGCCTTGTTGGAGAACAGGAGGACTTGAGGCCTCCTATGCTCAAGCTACTCCCAGTGAGACAGTCTACTTCCTGTTGCCTGAATATCAACATGTAGCAGCTACCTCTCCAGCACCATTTCTGCCTGTACACCACCATATCCTGCCATGATGATAATGGACTAAGTCTCTGAATTGTAAGCCAGCCACCACAATTAAATGTTTTTCTTCTAAGAGTTGTGCAGGGGAAACTTAGGACTCCACCATTAGCAACGTGGCGCTCTAAAGACTCACATGGATGTGGTAATGAAAGGGCTGAATCGTGCCGCTAACGACACCCACTTTGGGCATGACTAGAGACAGGGTATGGCTAGGGGCGTTACAGAGGAAGGAATAAAGGACTGAACAGCAGAGCCTCTTGCCCTCTTTTCAGCTTCCGGTTCAATAGTGGGAAAACTACCTGACTCATCTGGGTTGCTCATTTTCTCTTGTGAGTAATTTCTACAATAAACAGTTGCCTATACCCTCAACAAGCGTGCCGTTTATCTTTGCAGCATCTGAGTTGCCATAGTCACGGCGTCTTTTTACAGCAACAGAAACCCTAACAAAAACAAGGGCCAAGTGTGTTCATCTATTTGCCCTCAATAGATATTGGGTCAGGATTAGGGAATGGAACACTTTTGTCAATATGATCATCTACTTTTTGCTTACACATTTATATATCTGAAATCCTAGCATAGAATTCACCTACCTAAGAGAACAGCTAGAAATACCAAGGCTACAGGTGAAATACCCAGGATACTCAAGGGGGCTTCAGTGCTGAAAGCAGCTTGTCTTACACATGGAGGAAGGCAATCATTTACAATATCTTTGACCAACCAAGTGACCAGGGTTTTCCTGGCTCGGGATTTCATATGTGGCATCAATTTTCATAAACAGATGACATGCTATAATAACAATGGGATCAAGTGTAATCTTTTCTTTCCAAAGTACCTGACATAAACAACACCACAGCTGCTTATAACGTTATAGATTTAAAGACTGGTAATGACCCAAGACTTAAAATATTGCATGAAAAGAACATTACTTTAAAGCTTTTGATTCTGTATTTGATGTCATCTCGGCGCAGCTGAACAGAATCTCGGTGAATTCTGTATCTGGAGTATCTGCCATCGGTTTTCTCAGATAAACTGGAGGAATCCTGGAAAAGCAAGAAAGGGTTCAAAAATTGGCGAATGAAAGAAAAACCAGTGCTTGAAATTAGAGAAAGGAAATACTGACAAGTGGAAATGTAACTACAGTCAACATTTAGAGAGATACGCACAAGAAAAATAGGTGACCAAGGGAAAAGAAGAAAATGGCCATGAAGTCCTTGGCCACAGAGATAAGATGGTGTGACATACTCTTCGAGAAAACTGACCTTTCCTTCCCAGCTGTGAACAACTATCAACTGCTCCACAGCTGGGGAAAGAGCTGTGTTCCACTGGAACACATATATTTTTAAATTTAATATTTAATTATTCTTCATAATCATACAAATTCAGAGAACAAAGAAATCAAGAAAGCAACATGTTCAGGACCTTTCTTCTATTTTTTTCCTTCTCTTCATTTTCAGGAGAAAGAAGGAATATAGCAGTCAGTTATTTAGACATTTAATATCTGGGGACAATTTAGAAGACAATCAGGGTAAATGATTTTGGTGTGTTCAAATATCTATGGGAGACAGAGTCTGAAACACTCCCAGAGAATGTTCATTTTCTTGGTGGCTCAAGCAGGAAGAGGGACTGGAACTCCAGTTCCAAGATTTTCATTTTCACGAGGAAAGCAAAGGAAAGAAAAGAGAGCTTCCCATGAGGTGGTGAATACCTCAGTCACAGCTAGGCAATTTGTCACAGATCTGGGTTGGAACTTTGTGCCACACCCTTCCCACCTTGGCAAATAAGCAATATTTAAATACAAATGACAGAGCTGAAGTTTTTTTTTTTTAAAGACAGGGTTTCTCTGTGGCTTTGGAGGCTGTCCTGGAACTAGCTCTTGTAGACCAGGCTGGTCTCAAACTCACAGAGATCTATCTGTCTGCCTCTGCCTCCCGAGTGCAGGGATTAAAGGCATGCGCCACCAATACCCGGATCTGAAGCATTTTTTTTCCTTAAAAAATGGGCTTCAAAGAAGAAGGGAGACAAGGAGGGAGGATACAGTCACATTCAAGAAAGAATAAAGTCAAGTGTATTAAACAAAGATAGACTATTAGGAAATACACCTGTAAAGTACATTTTTGTATATATATTAGTGGTGGCACCAAGGGTAGGACCCATACAGATAAGAGTATTTAGGTCCTTCAATCTATATTAAGAAGTATTCCCTGAGACATTAAGCCATCTGGGTCATGAACTTGAACTTAGATAAACATGTAGGGCTCTAAATATTTATTTATATCATACAGATTTATAGACAGTTATAGGCACCAGAGACTATAAATATACACCTATATATGTATATATGTGTATGTGTGTACATGAGAAAATATAACCCATATTTAATAATATGAAGCTATCAATATTTTCACAAAGTCTTATCTAATTATTTCATGAAAGTGATTTAAATGAGCTATTTTTAATTGTATAGATGGTTTTGGAGTACAAATGAACACATGGAATGGGTTTCAAGACAGAGGTAATAGTGAAAAGAAGAGACAAATTAGATCTCACAACCAGCTAATTTATATACTCTAAGGTTCAATTTTCTCATATGTAAATCAGAAAAAATATCTCTGAATATCAAAAAAATCCACAGTGAATTTAGCTACTGTTTGCTGCACAGTGAAATAAAAATTACAAAAAATGCTTGCTACCTGTGATAACAACAATAGTTAGCAAGTATGTCCCTTTTCAGGATATAGGTTCCACTTTTAATGAATTAAAAGGCATAACTCTGAACTTGAAAAAAATTCTCCCAGAAAAATTTGTAGTGTTATGCTATTTATGATTTATTAAAGCTTGACTGAAGATTCAGAAAAGCTGTAGAGCTCAGGAAGTGGGACAAACACCTTTAATCCCAGTAGCCAGCAGCTAGGAGATGGTAGTATACATCTTTAATTCTAGAACTCAGGATTAAGAGATAGACAGATCTCTGAGTTCAAGGCTACCCAGGAATACATGAGATTGAATCATTCTAAAAGAGTAACAGAACTCATGCTTTTAATCCCAGCACTAGAGGGGTATAAAAGACAGAAGCAGGATCTTTAGTAGAGTAGAGGCATTCATTCTTCAGCCACACTGAGGAGAGGCAGCAGTTTGAGGCTTGGTGAAGAGCTCATGTGTGGATCAGCCCCTTCAGCATAAGCTAGAACTGAGAGCTAGTGGCAAGCTGCTTTGCTTTTCTAATATTCAGCTTGAAGCTTGAACCCCAGTATCAATCTCTGGGTATTTTATTTATTACTGTTAACAAAAATTTAATCTAAACATATGCTCATAATTGAGTCTATGCATGGTTAAGCTAGGCTTATAGACAATCACTAGACTTTGAGTAACAATAATAGACCTTCTGATAAGAGAACATGACTCCTGAACTGCACTCATGAACATTGTGTTCAATAAGAGCACTGTGGGGCAAGTGAGCTGTTACTGGAAGCCTAATGTCACAGGCTTATCCTGGTCTAAGATGGGCATCTGTTTCTCACCCATCCATCATTCATCTAAGTAACACTAGGACAGAGGGAAAAATAAGAATGATGGTAAAAGCATCTCCACACCAGGTCGTAAGAGGGTGAAGGGAAACAACACCATTCTGTTTGCTTGTGTCCTAAGCATCTGATGGGGCTTTAAACTGTAAATACAGTCACATAGTGAGAGAGAGTCAACACTTTAGTATAGAAGGAATACTTATTTTCTCCTATTTGCAACTGTCCAGCTTCAGGATGTGTCAACCCATTCTTGGATCACACTAAGAACGGTTCAGTTGCCGAATCAAAGACACCCATTAAATTTTGAGATCTGTATCATATCGGTTATTGCAACATATCCAAGCTATTGCTTGCTGACATTTACTACTCAGATGCACCATCAAATAATATACTATATTTAAGGAGAGCCTAAATATTATGTTAAGTCATATTTTTAGTAATTTTAAGGCCAATTTGAAACAAGAGGCTTCATGTTCATAACATGGACCTTGTATCACTTTCATTCTTAATCTTCTATTTGTATCTAGTGTTGATACTGTAACATGCTATAAATTGCTAAGGCTATACTTTACATTTGCATCCCCTAAAGGGGATGCAATGAATTCATGTGAAGAAATGAATTCCACACTTTTATGAACTTGATTTCACATGCCATGGGAGAGGAATAACTATGAAATATGATGTCTCTAAAACAGAAAGTATCTCATCTTCCTGTTGTCATTGGAATGTGTCACCCCTTTAATTCTTGGGGTTTTCTAAACTATTGTTACAGCATTAGAGGGAAAAAGTAAATTTCTAATAGTAAGATAAAAGTTTTGATTTTCCTATGTTATATTAATACAAAAGTTTGGTTATTTTCAGTCCTGACTTCACACATGTCAGTGAACTCTGGTAAGATGGTATTGCTAAAAGCCCCCAGTGTTTTTCAGAAGTTCCTCCATTCCCACAAGTTTCCTTGCACATCAGGAAGATGTCAAGTGTTCTAACTCAGACAAAAATAATGAAAGAGACAAGCCAGTCTTCCTCACTCTGAAGTCTTTGAAATCCTCTAGCAGGCTCAGTTTCTCAGGCACAGACTCCAGATGGTCTAAGGCCACTCGGGTACTCTAGGAAAAGAACAAAACAAAGCATAAGGGACTCAATCAAAAATTAATATTCTCAGAATCTAAATAGTGAAAACAAGACACACCACCAGCCGATCACACTATACATTTATAGCCAAATAAGAATAAATATTTTCAATAGATCTTTTAATTCAGGAGAATTATGTCCTTTCACAAAGTATATGAGATGCATTTTCAAACCTGATTCCTTTAAAAGGCTTCCTAGATAATTGCTTTCAACTGACATGCTATGAAATTTTCTATAGAGCATTTCATATTTGCATTAATTTACAGAAATTGCTTCAGTGAACACCAGAAATTAACCACCAGGTGATAGTCAGAAAAAGATGAGTTTGCAGTACGTTTCTATGGAGCACATTAGACATGTTGTCATTCGGAAGAAAAGAGTCCTCAACAATTATTTTTAGGAAAAAACAAAAATACAAAGCAGTTCGCAGAAAACAGAATAAATGTCTGAAATCAAACATCTGGGATGAAGGCGTAAGACTGCTGATTATAAACCAATAAGTTATTACAAAACCATCGAATAGCTGATTTTGTTACATCCACCAATGTAAATGTCAAGAGGGAATGATCTGGAAATTACCTCCTGGAGACTCAGTGGTTAGAGCAACCTTGAGCCAAAGATGGTACTAGTAACCGGAGTAAGCATTTGAATTGGAAATGAATTTTAATTTAACAAAACAAAATCAAAACCCTACAGTTGAAGTAAAACTCAGGGCATAAATCTTAGAGCTGCAGATACGCTAGTGATCACCATGTTTCACGTGATGTCTGACACCTTTCATGAACTGTGGGCTGGGAGTGTCACTAGACTTAGCAGTGAGCAAGTCATGTAGTCATCGGGCTTTCTATTGGATGGGTAGGTTCTGATTCATGGGCATAGAGTAAGTTTTTCCTTGAGAGGGGGTTCATCATGTTTCACTCAGTCTTCCCACTTGACCCCACTCTATTCTACAGGTTTTGTGCTGTGCTCTGTCTGGCGTCTCGCACTAGGGCCTCATCACCAAGGAAGTTTTTCCAGAGCATGTCCTTTATGTCTCCCACAGGCTCTGGGCACAGCAATGGATGGAAACAAGAAACTAATGGGATGTCTTTGTTCACCACACTTGCAATTCATTCCTTTCCATCTTCCACTCCTTCAGCAATTGTACTGATGAGTTCAATCAAAAGCCTAGCTGGAATTCTGCAGAGCGAATGATGCCTGCTTTCCATTGCGATTCCTTTGACAGACACATGGGTTTTGACTTTTTTGTTCTGAGTTCTATGTGACCTCTTCAGTGTCTTGTGACCTGGGAATGACAGCTGTCTTCTGCTTTTGTCATACACAAATCAGTGCTCCTATTTTCCATAAGCTTTTAGAGGGCAAATCAAATGCAGTCATCACTATTTTGCAGCTGCTGTTCCAAGTCAATAAAGTGTTCTTTCTCAGGGTCTATTTAAAAGATTTAATATTTTGTTCCTTCTGCTTAACATTTATATTATTGTTAGTTTTTCTGTTTCATGTACTTACTTAAACTGCCATACATTTTAAATGGCTTCACTTAATTTTTCAATGGGTTGGAAAGATTCATCAAGATGACAATTTCTTAATATAGGACACAACATGTAGGTTTCAGAGAGCAGGGAATTTTTTTTTATTTTGAGTCACTTTGTAAGTTATATTTACTTAAGTAATAAAATTAGAGATATTTAAGAACTATACTAGCTCTTGAAAATAAAACACAAAGCAAAGCTCTGATGACTATTTTAAGACAAAACGGTGCATTGAATGAAACCCTTTTCATGAGTAGATTCTAATAGACTTTCAGCACTAAAATTTTATTTCCTTTTTTTATAACCTCATGTTTTTTTCTCATTTGGGAGTGATCCTCTGAACCTGGGCTAGGCATTTAAAACTCATTTCTTTCTCAAATAAGCAAATAACCTCTATAAAACCTGAATAATTTTCAAACAACCAGGTGATTTTGTGACCTTCTTTATTTTATTTTTGCATGGTCCCATATCAGTTTATTATGACTGTGATTTTTTGGGTATATATTCGAATGACTGCATTATTGTGACATGCATGAAAAGTTTTCATCTCATTATTAAGCACAGTTATTTGAACATAAGTCCCTTTCCCTCATCTATGTCTCCATGAACTCTCTTCATATCTTCTCATAACTTATTTCAGTTGGGGTGTGTGTGTGTGTGAGTGTGCCTGTTAATTTTGCTTAATACTTTAAGGAGTGTGAATTCCTCACTAACAATCTATAGGCCACTTTTTCAAGTATATTTCTGTATATGGTAGCAGCAAATGATGTGATTAATTCAATTCTTTGAAACATATCAGATGTTCACAGACAGTTTTAAAAATGTTTCTCCCTAGGCAGGGTGGCACATGCCTGTAATTTCAGCTATCAGGAAATAGATGCAAGAAGACTTCAAATTCAAGACTGCTGGAACATCAAGTGAGTCCATTTCAAAAAGGAGGAAGCTTGCTTCTGAAAAGTTCTATAACAGTTATCATATTATCATAGTACTGTTTTAAACAACAGAGAATGCAACACACACACACACACACACACACACACACACACACACACACATTTCCAGTTTCCTGCAGGAAACTGTATAACTGTATTCCCATGGCCTAGGGACACTGGTTAATTCCAATCCTGTTTGGAAGCATAATGAAAGGGTAAATCAAAAAATATAATTTACCTGAAAATGCAAACCCGAGTTACAGTGTAATCTGCCATGCATTCCCCACACCACCATAAGCAGTGTGGACATATTACTGTAAATATAGTCTATAGATAGGCCATGAGGGACCAGAAAGTATAAGCAACAACTGACAATCACATAGTAGCAAAACCAGGATGTAAATTCCAGTAGCCTGAATGTAGAATGGGCAATGTTTTCACTACAAAAACACCCCCTCCACATTTATATAACAGTAAACTACCAAAGCATAGAAAGACCCAGAAGCTGTAACTGTGGCTACTTTATTTCCAACCCCTTTCTATCTATCAACAATTTTCAGCCAAGCTCTGAAGATATGTTCTTGATAGGACTGGTTTTTTGTTGTTGCTGCTGTTTTGTTTTCCAAGACAGGGTTTCTCTGTGTGGCTTTGGAGCCTGTCCTGGGACACATTCTGTAGACCAGGCTGGCCTTAAACTTACAGAGATCCACCTGCCTCTGCCTAAGCATCTTTTATGCTTAGGACTATGTATATCTAAACATATTTGCATATGCACAGCAGTCAGAAAGAGACACACACACAGACAAAGGAGTCTGGAAATCACAATGTGTGGGACTAGAGCACAGTCATTGGTTCACAAGACTTTCCTCAAATAAATGGTGACTGAACAAAAACAAATGAAGTTACTATGCTCTAAACAGTCTAATGAAGTCATGGATCTTTATTTAATGCCCAGAAAACAAAAGTCTGTTGCTGGATTTTATTTTCTCCTAAGAGTATAAGCAAGTGGCAGAAGAAACTGTCTGTGAGACCCTGTGGCTTGCCACTTACAGATGTGTTCACATGTCTGTCAACAAAGGCAAAGCACAAGCTGCCAACTTTACTCTTCCAAGGTTTCAACCCACATCAGACTCCTACAGAGCCAAGCAGTTTGAACTGGCCGACAGAACTATTCCCTTAGATCTTCCTTTGTTTCTGACCAGAAGGAAATTGAATAATATCATATGACAGCGTAAGTAGCATCAATTAGGAATTAAAGAAGAATGCATTACAAATCTTAGATCCTGCCTCCTGTGGAGAAAACTTATGAAACAAATTTGACCATAGGCTGTACATACTTGCCTTTGTAAAAATGCACATCTGTTTAATTTTATTAATATATAACATGTAACAAAATTTTCTCACACTGGTATTGAAATCATTATGTGTAGATGATAAAGGAGAATTTGTCTACATTTTTAAGACTGTGTATATTTCTGGCAGAACGTACATGTTAAATAAACAAGGTTATGAAGCAATTTATTTGGGTTCAAAAATGCAATTCTATTTCATTTGGAAAGAAATCTACTGCAAAACTTTCCTGACAAATGGCTGAATGGTGGTGAAAAGACCTGAGTAAACACGGTTCAAGGGGAGGAAGGGTGAACTCACATAAAGGATGGACTGTATGCCTTTCACTGATGCTGACTTGATCCAACACAGCTGGATTGGCATTAAAGGGCCCTGTCTTTATCCAAACTGTCTACCACTCTCTGGAACCAAACTGAACAGTAGCAGAGAACAGGCCTGCAAAGCCTCGTGCTGCTGCTAAATATCCTTCATGAGGCCTCCAAACACGAAAAGAATACTACATTTATACGCCAAGAGCAGGCCTGCAAAGCCTGGAGTTCTTGATGACATCCAGCAACAGGCCCAGAGAAGACAGCTACGTGGGCTCCTCCATTGCCAAAAGTCTCTGTATTACATTGGCCACTATAAACCTGGCCAAGATCCTGTGGCTGGAGAGGCCCTAGGCCCAAAGGAGAACCTACAACTGCTACTTTGTTAACTGGACACAGCACCAACCTGCCCTCTAGATACTTGTCCTTATAACCATAGATTAGTACAGCTCACACCCCTCATCAAAGAAGCTTCCTTTTGCAGTGAATTAAGGTTAGTTAATGCAAAGTCTCACAGCTAGTCAGAGAAAGGTTGACTGTACAGTGTTTAAATCTAAATGGGGCAATGGTATACGACTCCCTCTGCCCAAGGTGCAGAGAACATTGCAGAAGAGGTGAGTGTACAGATTCTAATGGTTAAAGGATGGGGAGGGGTGCTGTGAAATTGGGTCTTCTGGACATTGCAAGACCAGTGTACCTGTCAACTGACAACAGCTATGGATGACTGTACAAGACCCATACAAGATAAAGCCAATCAACATCTGGAAATGACAAGAGCAGCACATCTATGAACTGACAACAGCTGCGGGTGACTGTACAAGATCCACACAAGACAGAGCCATTCAACATTCCAGCA